TGGACCTTGCCGCTATGGGCCGATGGACTGATGAACTGATGGCCTCGCGTGTCTGATGGCACTGATGGCAGATCTGATGACCTCCGTGATATGACAGTCGTATCTGGGGCCACGCATTCGGCGGGCTCCGCCCCCGCGGCCTTACCTGCCTCAGGTCTAGTGAAGAGATGGAAGTACCCTCCTACCTTGGCTCAAGTTGGCTGTAACCAGCAATAAGTTTCTTATAATGGGGTGGAAAATCTTAAAGTTGTCTAAGCTTGCGGCGAATCATATAGTAAATCAATTTGGGGTCTAGAGTCATAGTTGGCTCAACTAGAGGTGGTAAATAAAACTGATAGAAAGCGAGCAGGTCAGGTGGTAAAACTGTCCCGGACCAGAGCCTAGCGTTCTAGGAGTAAGAGGTGGGACATAAAAATCAATGTATTTCACTTACATTGGGTTGGCAAGTCTTATAGTTAAACCTAGTTTGGCTAGTAATATTGTTTGGCAAAATTAGGGTGGCAAATCATATAGTTGTCACAACCTGGAGAGGCAAGCAAGTCATGTGATCGTATAACTTAGGTTGGAAAATCATATGGTTGACGCAGTTTTTTATGGGATTGTTCAAAAAATGATAAACATATTTACAACAAAAGCCCTGTCATGATTACTTCTATCATGAGACATAGGCAAAGGGAAAGATCCAATTCATGAGCCCCTCATTGTTAAGGCTTGATTTATTACGTTCGTATAACCACTTATAAGTGAGCCTGATGTTTTAAGAATAATATAAACTAGATCAACGCTTTCGTGTAAAACATCCTCAACATCCACCCACTTAATTCAAATTCGCGTCAACCTCCATACCTTACAACAAGATAAGACCGCACTACACCATGTTGTGTCTGTGCAAGTGAATGATGTCTTTCAATTGATTGTTCACTCTTAGGTTATCCCACGAAGGTCTCCCATATCTACTTCAAAGAAAGTGGCGAGGACCGATACAAATGCAACTAAAAGACCCGAATCGCATGTGATGCTGTAACAGCTCTCTCCTGCATTGTGCATTCGACAAAACCCCAAAATATCACAAAACAATCCATCAGAGAGAGTGACTTGCACATTGACTCCTGGAGCATAGGATAAAAACCCGTCGATGGACCTTCCATGTAAAAACACAATAGATATATGGAAGTGGCACATCACATCATCACGCACTGTGCCCAACATAACGAGCGATATCACATTGACCTTAGCCAAACAAGATGGCGCCCGCAGATTCCCGCCAAACGGGTGAAAAAGCGCGCCACACCGGTAACTTCTTTCTCTGTGTCTAAACTGCGTGAAATAACGGAGCAAGCGTAGTGGATCATCATCACCTCCCGGTGTGTGGAGAGGTGAGATAAATGCCAATAAGATACACTAACTAGCCATAATGTCTGTTTGGGTACATAAGCTAAACATGTGCTAAGCCGGGTAGGATAATCGATGACATTTTGTTGTACATACCATGCGCCAATTAAAAAGATGCCAAAACGATTTGACTATTTACCAAGTAGAGTAGACTCGTCTTCTGTCAAAAGCGTGTCTTTAAAAAAAAAATCTGATCAATTGTGGGATACGGGATTTCAGTTTCAGGCTACAAATTCACATGTGATATACTTTCCTATTTTACCGAGGCTGGACAGACATCAGCACTAATGAGACCGTCAATCCAGTAAGCTGTCCTCCAGTGTTTGCTTGGGACTGGTAGTACAACGCTTGAAAATCAATTAAGACAGCGTAGAACCGAAATTTATGTGTTCTTCTTTGGTAAGGTTAGGTTTTAATCTTAAATTTGTAATGATTTTTGATCGAAGTTCATGCTGCAATTTAAATATGCATGGTGCAGTTTATTATATATGCTAGTGTCAGTTCAGACTATTGCAGAGAGTTGTTGTCTAACTCAGCCAAAATATTTTTCGGCTCACTTTTGGCCACTAGAATCTGGGAATGATTTTCCTACGATACATTCGTTATTAGTTTGCCCCACGTGTTTCCGTAGTGTTGTTTCCGTGTTTTATATGACTGTAATTGGTGTGTATGTATCTTTTGCAAGAACTGTAGTATAAGATGGTTATAAACATAAACCCGTGAACAGCGTTAGTTTGTAAATATGAAATGTATGTAGTGTGATGCCTATAATACAAATTGTAAAACAACCTTTATTGTTCCACAACAGCCAAGCGCGTCCAAGTCGATGAACAAACTACCAAACCCAGACTCATATTTCACAACACTTTCTATCCGAACACCACAGTAAATCATTACGTTAACACCACACTAATACACATGTACACAAACACTGTGTGTGAAAGCGAAGAGTTATAGGTCATTAGAGATGAATGCAGAGCTTTGCACAATGAAGGGCGCGGCAATGCTCGTGCGGTACCTGTGTACTCTCCCATAAAATGTGGCTGTTGTCAATGTGTTTGGGTGAGGATTGTTCGATTGTTGAACCTTGTACCAAAAAGTGTGTTAAAACTGCCGATAAATGCTAAATCCTACCTTTTTATCGTGATAATGTCTTATTCACTACATTGAAAGTTATGCCGAACATTCTTATTGAATAGGTATCGCCAATTGTGTCATTATATGACAGTCAAATACTATAACAATCATCATCGCTGACCCGCAAGTTTGTTATGTGATGCTGTATTTTCGAATTCATCTCCAAAATAGTTTATAGTACTATGTTCCTCTATTCCTAAATGGGTAACGACCTCTAGCTGTTAATCGATGTGTTATAGTTCTGGGGAATTTTCCTATTATTTTGTTAATTTTTTGAGGTTTTGAGGTGGCGAGTTTATATTGAGTAGTATTGCAGACATTCTTCACATCGATAGTTAAAAGCTGATAGTAAAAACAAACTACTACTGATACTGATACTAAAAACTGATACTAACTGATACTAAAAACAAAATGTTTAATTTTAAGGTTACAGTACTTTCACGACGTTTCGGGATCTGGAATCTGACCACGTTCTCGGGGAAGAAAGAACCTAAAACATTACAAGATTAGTTTACAAACCTAGCCAAAGCTGGGAAAAACACACAGAGTAGAGAAATTTAGTATTCAAAACAAGAAACAAAAAACCTGAAATACATAAAAAAATTTGCGTAGAATATGATAGTATCGAGAAATAATTCCGATAGAAGATAGGGCGGGAGAACAGAATGTAGCCTACACGCTGAACAAGATGGCGCAAGCGCAAGACTGATAGGCCTACACATACACACCCTAGTATTGCCAACCTTTTGAATCTATTTTTATTTAACAGATTTTACTATTGTATGAGTTAACTTCGCGTCTTGGTCTTTACGGAGGTGCAAGACACTCGCCCAAATAATATAACCATAGACTTATAACACAAGAATATAATATTATATCAATTAGATAGAACAGTACTTTCATTGACAGTTTCATTTTCAGTTGTGATTTAAACATTACGTGTTGTTAAGTATTGCGTGTTACACAGCGGTCAACGGTCGACCCAGAAAGGTTGGCGGAAGTGAGATGGTACTGGTACTCTCAGGATAGCCAACATTAAAACACCGAAGTGTCGTGTAAATGGCGGGAAGGAGATCTGTAATCAGTCAAGGTTGAGTGAGGATGGAAAAAAGTGACACGGTGAACTCTAGAATCGGTTAAGTTCATTGTTCTCTGGCTGAGTAAAAATGGTTGTACAGTACAAAACTAAATGAAGATTTTGGTGTTCTGTTTGCCTTGACTAGAACAGCTGCTGCTGTTACTGATAACAATGGAATTACATGTTTTTAAGTTTGTTTTGATATGGTAATGTTTTGTCTGGGCTACTTCACTTGATTAACTATATGACAAACTTGTACATAAAATGGCTACCTACTACAAAGCTATAGAAGGCGTTTTAGTCGCCGCTTGCTCGAACTATAGATCTTTCGTGGCTGCTCAATGAGGCTTCCTTCTGCAACGTATGCAGTTACGACTAAAATAGCCCTTTTTGAAGTACTTTTCAATGTTTTAAATAACTTTCTACAATGTTTTACTAGCACCCTTAACAGTGTGATACAACAGAATGTCGTGTATGACTTCAAGTTCTATGATGTGTCACAGAGTTAGAGTCCACTTCACCTCTGTGGTTGTGTACGCCTGTCACAATTAAGGCAGTGTGTTTAATCTATCGTTGAATCCATGCCTCAGTTTAGACCGGACAGATTCTTCAACGTGAGTAGTACTGTATGTAACAGAACAGAGGTTGTACTTGTTACATTACCATGTTCGCCAGTGGGCACTGACACGATACCTACTCTTGTACCCTACAATCTCCAGCAACCACTCAGTCATTTAGGTGAAAAGCGATGTTACTTTCGTTCTTGCGGAGGTTCTCGAACTGGAGCGAGAAAACGTCGGTTCGTGTTTCGCGTTCTTGCTTTAAGACTGCTCTACTTACGTCTAGCAGACGTTTGGCTCATCACTGCAGCGTGGTTTTATACGGTTAATGTATTAGTTAAACGTTGGCTTGGCTGTAAATGTGTAGAGATTAATCGTACACATAAACGTACTCTACATACCTTTATAAAACGTGCCTTCAAGTCTTCAGCTCATCTATAATGATGACAAATTTATAAGATGCGACCTGTTTTACTATTTAGTATAATGTGATAACAATATGTAATGTATAACGTAAATCGTGTTTTCTCTGTCATGTAAAAATCATTTTAATGTACGCATCATATTATTGGAAACTCTCTGATGACGTCATAAGAGGTTACTACTGTATCCTTATTTTACTTGTCATACAACACTTTTCAACAACGTGTTCCCGTTTTTAGAGATATGAGTTGTTCCCTAGTTTGTGGTTGCACCAACGAAACTCCCAAAAAGGCCGACTATGTAGGCTATTAGACAATCGATCCCAGGTAGTTTAGCGTAACTCGTAGAGAGAAAGAAGATTATAAAAAACAATAAAAAGCTATTACTATGGCTATTCGTTTTTGTTTCAGGATCTCAGACAGCAACTAACAGAAGAGGAATGGCTGACTTTGATAGGGCAAGAGGAAACAGGTATTATTAGGTTTTTAATTATTATTTTATCTTTTGGAAACTGCAATAGTTAGTCAATTAATCTAACTCTTAATAAAACATACAATATCCGTTATGCTACAGACTTACAACAGTTCTGAATACCTTTTACAGAATTTTTTTACAGTTGTTTAACTTAACTTTTAATCGATTGAACAATAATATAATAGGACACATTTGAACCATGCAATACGTAATTCTAAACATTAATTATTAAAATACGTAGACAATTTTACAAACAAGGTCTGAAGAATTTTTTTTGTGGGATTATGACCCTCTGCCCTCATCGAATTACCACCATTGATAGTGAATAAAGCATGTCTACTCCGCCCAAAAATCTGAAGTCCGTTTTAGGCTTTGTGTATTTTATGTTAGTATGTTTTTTAGCGTGCTGATGTCTGTAATTCTCTCTACAATGTAGGATAGTTTGATTAAAGTTCCCACGGCCACTTTACACTACGGTATCTGTTAAAGTGTCGAATAAAACACATAACCTAATATAAACAAACCAGTTCCATCAGGTTGAAATTGTTTTAAGATTGGTTAAAAAAGAAAGAACTAGTAGTAAATGAAATGTTCTCTCGAAAACTAGACGGAACTTATCTGAAATCGTCTTCATTCAGCTGCATAACTCTCCAAGGGAATAGATGTTTAACCAATTTTACAAGTAACGCCAATGATTGTATTTAAACATATGGGATTCTTCAGGTAGTTATCCTCCAGCTGATTCATGACCCTGAGGACCTTGTAATCAGCTGATTATGACTCAATATCGTGAGGTGAGGTATGCTGTCACACGCCAGAGAAGTGGCACACGCTTGGCAATGACCCACTCATTGTTTACACACATAATATGGGATAGTAGAAAAACTTGGAATTTTTGCTAAATTATTAACAATAAACCCAAGGATTTCGTTGCAAAATTATTAGTGGTTAAGTTTCCATGAAGATATCTTTGCTGTAGTACTACTTTTGTTAGTACATATTCTTACTTTTCTTTATAGCCTGAATTTTCTTGACTATCCTGAGTGATATCTTTATTTTTTTGTAAATTCCCCTTGTAGCGAAATCGTTGTACATCGATGGTAGGGAATAAGCGATTATACCTATTACCTATAATGCTGTGTACTCGTAAAAATCCTCCGATTTTGATGAAATTTGGGAACTACTGTAATCGACTACGGGAAAGGAATTTTATAGGGTAAAAATAGGGGTTCCCATTTTTACCCCCAAAACATAATAATATTTAATATGCAATTTATTTCGTTTTTGTGATATTTTTGTAACATTGCATACCGAATTGATGCTTATTATAGCTTATAAGGAATACAGAATTATCCTTATTTCGATCAGAGTAGAGATACCTGAATTTTTAAAGAAAAATATAGGGTACTCAGATTAATACTTTAGACAATACTTTGTATAAATACAAAGGTAGGCAATGTGTAGCTGTGGTAAGTAAGGGATAAGGGGGTTTCTCTGGTCTGTGGTGATAGTTTCGAAATGAATATGATTACTCTACTTCTTCACTTCATTTTAGAGACTGCCAACATAACTCTCTGCTGCGATCTATAGCGCTAATACAACATGGTTCAAATTATTATACGACCTTGAAAATAATTGTCAGATTACTGTTGATTTGAAGTAGTGTTTTTATTATTTATATGGGTCAATCTTGGACTATGACACTATCGAACTTTTATCATAGTTTAAAGGAGTAGACAATAAACAAGTCTACTGCTTTAAATCTATGCTTTTATTAAAAAGCTAATGGTCTAAACTCTGATCTCGTTGCCATCTAACGTCAAACTTTTTTTAGACAGCATCATCAATTGATAGTCCAATAAAATATGGCATCGGGGTTTGGTAACGTTCTTGTCCGTAATCGAACCAGCGATCTTCAGATATGGAGGTGAACAGGCGAGGACTATGACCACTCGACTGCCCAGGCAATTTAGTAATGTTATTGTCATATAGAATGATTTGTTATGAACATAAACGATCACTTACCATCATGGATTTGTTATTGTTTGTAGGGACTTTTTTCATTAACCTTGTTTGGCCGAGTTCTCACAAGCCAGACAACCGTTCAAACTGTTTCACAACACAATAGACTTCCTAGTGTGAGAACAGTTCTTAACTGTAACTCTCGCACTAAACTGCTAAGCATTGTGTAATATACAATTATTGAACGGTATTGTGCATTGTGAGCTGAGAAAATAAATTGCTGATTGATTATTAGGTATCTTGTAAAATAACTCAACAATATGTTGACCGCTAACTCTTTTACATCAATAAAACTTGTATTAGGCACCTTGGGAAATAACTCAACAATATTTTGACCGGCAACAATAAGAAAAACTATAAGAACTATAAGAAAAACTAATATACACTATGGTTGACATGTCTGGGCCTAGATCCACTTCCCATAAACTAAACAACATTTGAGGACATCTAAAAACAAAATAGACCTTACCTCTGGCGTGGATTCTCAAATATTCTACTTGTGAGAATATAGGATAGGATAGAACAGATTGTAAAGTAAACATATAAAAAAGTAATTAACCATCTTGATATTATTCTAACCCCAGTAACCTCTTTTTCTCTACCTTAATGTCACATATAAGGAAAATGCCATACTCGTAATAAGATACTCTTAAAAAATTACCTATATCAAATGGGATACTATGGTTATCGGAACCAACGGAACGAGTAATCATGGTCGACAGGCATCAATTCTTAAATACGGAATTTTGTATATTGTGAGAACGGATTCTCTTAGCACATGACATGAAATGTACCCAATCGTGCTCGTGCAAACGTGCATATAATACACGCACGTATCGTGTATCGTCAGCAAAGATTATCGTATGCTAGACTGGTATGCGGAAGGTACAAGTATATTTCTCACGTCGCTCACGGCGTTCCTAGGTCTGGACCAGAGTTTATAGCCTAGGTTCAGGTCAAGGTCACTTCTAGAGGCTCACCTCGACTTTGACCCGACGACACTGTCCGCCCATCCCCGAGGTTGTACTCTCAGGACACCCTAAATTTATGTAAGGTCGTGTTTTGTGGCAAGGGATCAAATATAAACTTCATCGTCTTCTTGCGATTAAATATTAATGTCTTATAATATTTTTAAAATCATATTCCAACTATTATAAAGAAAGTTAGTCAGCATCACTTGAATCTTGAAAAGCAAATTCTGAAAAAATAAACTTTAGAGGGTGACCATAATGAAAGTTACCTTTTTGTTTACCATTCGTCCCACCGCTAGAAGCTTTACAATAACAACCTCATCAATCGTAAACATTGGTTGAGTAGGATGGTTGAAAAACGTATAGGCCTACTTAGAAAACCCTTATTGTATTATAGTAAATCGATAAATATAGACTTGAACACAACACTAGGGACGTGTTCTGGTAAAGGTGGTCTTAATTTATCTTCGTTGCCTACATTAGTTTTTCAAAACTGTTGAAAGTTTAAATGACTTCAAGTGAAATAAAAATGTAGAAATGTGTGAGAATGTTAAAGGGTAAAATAATCTTGTAACAGTAAATTTTTAAATGTTCATTCTAGCCCGGCAACTCAAGACCAAATCCAATATATAACTGGTTTATGCAGAATCAATTTAACTTATGAACGAAGCTATATTTATTTTTTTATGCTAGTAGCTTTTTGTGTACATTTAATTATTATGTATTGTTATTATTAATTATTAAATATTAATTGTCAATATTAATTATTAAATATTGTGTACATTTATTATTATTTAAGCCTGTGTCACACTACGCTACTTTACTAGCAGCTAGCGAAATAGCAGCTACTAAGTAGCCAATGTGACATAGGCAGTAGCAGCTACTAAGAGTAGCGCGCTAGTGAAATTTTACTAGCACGGAAAGTTGAACATGTCCAACTTTCCGTGCTACTAAACTGCGCTAGTGAGTCACGTGACCAACTAGCAGCTATCAAGTAGCGACTGTCGCCCAGTGTGACAGCTTCAATAGCAGACTAGCGGCTACTTGCACCACGTGCTGTCTGCCTGATTTGTTTATTCTCGTTCATTTTGAATAATTTCTGAAGTAATCATGAGTGATCCGAAGTGGGGTGGGGGAGATGTGATTAATTTTTTGAACCTGTATAAAAAATATCCGTGTCTTTGGGACATAACCTCTCTTGAGCTAAACTAGTAGTAGCAGCTAGTGAATAGACGCTACCAAAATAAGTGTGACAGGAAAAGTAGCTGCTATTTCAGTAGCTGCTACTAGGTAGCTGCTAGTAAGTAGCCAAGTGTGACACAGGCTTGACAAGGGAACGGTCTGTACATGTCTTGTTGAAAGGCAATGATCATTATTTACTAAGATTAGTTGTTGACCGTTAAGTCAGAACTATTTAGGGACAGGGTACTTGATCAAAATAAAAGAATAATGCCAAACCCCAAATTCGTACGTACATTTACGTTCGTTTGGTTTCTTGTAACTTATAAGACTAATAAAGAGCAAAAGAGATTCAATTACAGTACATTTTACGTAACGTTAAAAGGTACAGCCATAAACATGTCATTAAACCACAACCACACTGAATTCGATAACGATGATGTACGGTAACTTAGGTATAGTGTGAGGGTGAGGATATTTCCAACGCAACAGAAAGTAAGATGATATCGATATAAACTATTTCAGCCAACCGAAACCCCGATCAATGAAACTTCAGTAACTTCACAAAGTTCTGCAGCATTGCGTTCAAATATCCATAGAGAAATAACACATCTTTGTCCTCGTGCTCGTATTGTGTAGCAAGACACAGAGTAAGGAGAAAGGTTGCCGTTCGCTGTTAATTAAACTGTAATTGGGCTCAGTGGAATGTTCTTTCCGTCAGTTGGCTTTCCACATCCGGTCAGTGTTATCAGATAAGACCTGTGCTCTGCTCTGCAATTCTGTATTGTTCAACAGGAACCGGAAGTTAAATGTCTCAGCACCTTAATTTGTTACTCTGTGTTACTTATGTGTCCTCTTGGCCTTTCTTAGCACAAAGAAGAGAATACTTATTCAGTTAATTCCCTGTGGTCTGGTCTTAGTAGATGTGTAGTACCCCTAGGCCTAGACCTAACCTAACCTAACCTAACCCACTCTCTTAGATGTTACCCTCCAGTAATGAACAAATGTCATATACTGCTGAGTTCAAGGTCAATAGGTTCAAGATTTTGTTTTAAATTTATTTCATGTGTAGGCTTTTAATTTTATGTAAGTAATAATAACCTGAGTTTTTTAAAGGCAAACTAGCTAAAAGTATAAGAAATTCAAAAAGCCTAGTACATCAAAGGATGAGTAACATTAATATTCTTGTGAACCACTTTAAATACATTTCTATGGTTATTGGTTATGACACATTTTAATCAGTTGAGGAGTCATTATAGCTGTAGTAGCCTTAGTCAGCACATTCTGCCACTGTAGAGGGCAAATGAGGTAATCATTATTCTTGATAAGGTGTGAAATGATGAAGAGAAAGTTGTACATTTAATGTAATCATGACAAAAAACCCCATTGTTGTGAAGGATTATGTATCAGAAGGATCTTCCCTAGACACTATTTGGTTTGCAGACGGAATAGGACAAGTCACTATATTATATTTGTAATCTACTTGGAAGTGCCGGCCATATGCAATGTGGTAAAGTTGGCAGTTGACTCAGCTGTTCTTCATTGTCGAGATTTTAATTAATGCTCCTGGTTTGAGAAACAACTGATAATTTCACTTCATTCAACAATCATCTTGTTTATTATTCAGCTTAAAATGTGCATCACCCAGCTGTTGTTGCTGTATCAGAAGGAATGGTTGGTAGGCCTAATGAATGAGCTCATTCGAAATTTGTCATACCAGCTTGTTGGGCTGGTCAGTAACTTAACAACAAAGATACACATATAGTTAAATTAACTTAATTAAGGTTTAAGTTTACCTTGTCAAAACAATCCATTTGTAGTATATAACTAGCTGTGTACCTTTTACAGACGGGATCTTGTAGTTATAGTTCGGCCGCTTAGAAAGCGACCTCCTCTAGCATTGGTTTAGCATTAGCACGGAGGTCGTTTTCTATGCGGCCGAACTATAGTTGAAAACTTCTTATAATCAGAACAGCAGTTGGTTTGCATATTTAGTGTGCATTTTTCCAGATATGCAGGCAAAACTCTGTATGCAGCACTGTTTCAGGGTCTGTTTCCCGGTTATCAAAACTCAAGTACGATTTGACACAGGCACACACAGAATCTCCGGTTAGCCACATGAATGATGCTTAGAAATTTAATTTAATTTACAGTTAGTTACACATTATTGCACTTGTGATTAATAAAATCCGTTGTGTAAGGCATATAATGTTTTTAATTTCACTTGGTTTTGGATTTTCTTACAAAACGTGATTGGAAATGGTTGCAGTATTTGTAAACAACATTTAATGTAAACATATCCAGTGACAGCTAGAAAAAAATCGTCTTTATCCAAACAGCTGTTTGTTACTTCATAGATGTCGTATTCTTAAAACAGATGAGTATTTCATGAATGACATATTATATGGTTAACATTAAGAGAAAACTTGAAAAAATCGCGCAAAATTGGGCTTTTGAACGTCCATTATTTTATTTAAAAAGTAGTGAGGTCATATTTTAATGGCTAAAGACACTCTTCTTGTCAATCCAGTGAATAGAAAAAAACAATTTGAATCCCAATCGATGCTCTCGTTTTTCAGGAGAAGGTTGCGTAAAATGTTTTCTGGGCCATGACAGACAAGCCAGACGGAAATTGAGATAAGACTTGTTTCAGCTTCTTTAATGCATAAAACAAAGATAAAACGTAAAAATAAAAAAATATATATAATTTTGAGCAATGTACAGACAAAATTCTAATTTGATTCATATAGATTCACAGCTGTTTCGTGCTGTTGGAAAAAGAGCTCATCATCAGGTCAGAATGTTTAAATATAATTCCTCAGGGTGGAGGCATCATTAGAACAATGGAGGTATGATCTAGCACAAAAAACCTGTAAATACTTCAATTGATCGTTTTGACAGACATCTGGTAACTTAAACCTCTATAAGTCTATTTGCTTGCATATTATCGAGTGGCCATCAATATTGAAATTAAAAATAGATAATTCACACAATTTTTCACATACCTTGCTTTGATATTCATACCTTAAAATACGCAGGTACACAAAGTGTGCTATAATATGCAATTTAAGTGATTAATTTAACTTTCTGTTCCAGGAGCCTTGTATGACATTGTCCACCCGGTGCTGCCGTCCCGTCACCGCCGCACTCCCACCACTCCACACCAGCTGCTCTTGGATGCTCCTGTACTCCAGAAACAGTTCACCCTGGACCTCCAACCAGCAACTTCTCTCCTGGACCCAAGGTTTGCGCTGGTCAGCCGCTGGGGCAACCGGTCAGAGCAGCTACCCATGGACCTGGTAGAGACGGACTGTTACTTCACCAGTGTTGGGGAGGAGAGGGCAGCAGTTAGCGTCTGCGGAGGGGTGGTGAGTGGAGAGTAGTCTTCTTGAGATTCTTCAACTCTGTGACTAAAATCTCATTTCTACTTAAATAATATTATCTCTGATTATTTAAGTGTATAATATTTTCTCTGGCAACAAAGGGTGGATTAGGGAGGGTGCAAAAAGACTAAGAGGTTAATTAATGAAGTACAGGTAAGAGAAAAGGATGGATTAAGAAATGCTAGAATTGGATTAAGAAAATATTAGTAAACAAAAGGGATGGATTATGAATGTTTGAAAAGAGAAAGGGATGGTTTAAGAATGTTTGAAAAGAGAAATGGATGGTTTAAGAATGATTGGAAAGATAAAGGGTGGGTTATAAAGGGATTGATTAAGAAAGGGTACTGTACTAGGAATTTACTTAAGTTTGGATATTTATTGTACAGTACTTTTAATACTTTTTGATGAAATGGCGACCATACAAAGTAGGTATTTTAAGCCAATATGAATGGAGATGAGTGTAGGATGAGTGGCTATCTTGTAGTCTTGTTAGTGACTAAGGCCGACATACTCCTTAGACACAGCTGTTAATTAATAGCCCATACAGCTAATGGCAACTAAGGGACCTACATTTTATAGTGGAATCCGAACCAAATTTTTGCCTTGGTATGTACGAATTGGTCTAAATATCAGGATAGTACTGCGGATAGTCGTAGTACTCACTCGTGCGGACGTTAATCCACACCAGAGAGTATGTCATCAACAGTGCATGCGTATAAATATATAATGATTGTAGGCCTATTGGTTTTATATATTTTATATGATCCAAGCACTGATTTATAAACAAAGTTGTCTCATTTTCAGAGAGGAGTAATTAAACCACCAGGAGATGAGTACTATGTGATAAACCCACTGCCAAAGAGGTTCACCAAAAGGTCGTCCGACCGATCTTCTTCTTCTCCTCATGTGATAGTCCGTAAACACATCAGTCATTTCCACACGGACCTAAACAGAGTGAGATCTTCTAGTCTGAACAGTGGAGACTCGTTTTGTGGAGTGAGATCGGAGGTAAATGTGAAGGGGTTTTATCAAGTTGGAGACTTTATATCTTGGAAATTTATGTAAAAAATATTAAAAAACTATTTTGCATGAATCGCTAAAGCCAAAAGGCATAGGTGGCTACTAAAGGGGCCATGGTCTCTTCCCCCAAGAACTTATTATTATAAACAATATTAAAAATGTGATTTTATGATTTTGAAAATTGATTTGATATAAATACCAAACAAATACCCAATGCCTGCAATGCACAGATCTAATTGTGAAATGTTACCGAAATACTTATTGTTGGAGAGGGGGGAGTAAGGGAAACTCAAAATGTTTTGCAATCCCTCCGTTGAGTTCATAGGAGCCTCTTGGCATTCCGAAGCTGAAAACATTATGTACTATTAATTTTCATTGTAAAATATATCAACTTTAAATTTAAAAAAATTGTTCTTTGTTAGAATCTGGAGTTACAGGGAAATTTTCCAACGAAAAAATCCTTGTGACTACTTTAGTAATGGGGTTTTGGTTTGTTGGGCATTAAGGAAGAGAAAAATTCCCCCACAAGGAAAAGGGGAGCGGGCACAAATATCTCTTGGGCCCGTAACATGTCACATGCAAACTACAAGCCATCTTCTTGTGACTTCTTCATATAATTGTGCTGTCTAAGCGATGTATAGATGCGTGCCAATAGAAGCATTACAGTCTATCATCTTTAGTCTCAGTGCAAAGTAGAGATAGTAGTGATTTGGGTGAACAAGTGTCTGCTGCTCTGAAGGTGGAGGACTAACCTTTCTGGAACAGCAGCATCCTACATTACCCAGAAAACGTGGTTCAATCCAGAATTCACAAGAAAATCTTTTTTGGCAAATTTCCCCTATAGGGAATAAGGTTCTGAGGTCTCTAGAGGCCAAAAACACCATCCGTTCAAATTAATTTATGAATGTGTCCGTTAGCGTGATAACTCGAGCAAAATCATCTGATTTTGATGAAATATGGTACAAACGTGTAAACCTACATTATTCGAACTAGTTCGCGAACCAGCATGATCGGACTATGGGAACAGGGGTTTATGGGGGGTTTTATGGGGTAAAAATTGGTTTTACCCATTTTGACCCCAAAAACATAAAATTTAACAATTTCTTTCCAAACCATTTTTTAGAGCTTATAAAAACAAATAATTTAGTATATTGAAGCGTTATTATGCGCCTAATAGTTACGCAGAAAATTCCAAAAATCTGTATTTAAAATTCCCATGTTATTCATAAGGAGTATAAGTAAACTGTTGTAGTTTGCTTGTTTATGAACATATTTTGATCAAATTTGGAAAATGCATTCATTTCATACTAAACTATTAACATTTTATAAAAAACACCTTTATACCCTCCCTGTTGCAGCAAATCTAAGTACTCATTAAACTAATGTTATTTAAATAGGGAATAAATGTGATATTTTTAAGGAGACATTTGAATGTAAATCCAATCAGGCAAATGGAAATTCGCTTAGTCTGCAGGTTTGCTGTGGCGGGGGTATTTTTTAGTTTAATGTCCCTTGTTGCAGGCAGTGCCTATCCATAACACAGGACGTGTGAGGCGAGCAACCAACTCGCCTGTTCATGTAGAGACTGCTGTCTTTGTAGACAGTGACATGTTCAACCTCATGTCCAACAACTTCCCCACTGACACAGAGCGAGAGGTCGTCCGGTTTGTGTTAGCTATGGTTAATGCTGTGAGTAAACCAAATATCTTTGTAAGTAATGGTTCAAATTTGAGTTTTGATGATTCAAATAAGTTCAAATAAGTGTTTTAATCTAATAATATCATTACTTAGAACAGAACCTAAGGTACTTCGGTTCTAATCATCGTATCATAGGTTATAATTTTACAAAAAGACCTCTTGCGGTCTATTTGGAGTGGTTTTAAACTAAATGGTGGGTTTACAAAACCACTTAAGAATTAAGCCTCGTACATTACAATATCTCTGGTAATGGTTATAACAATGTCTGGATTGTGGATGCACCTTTTACTGACAGCCAAAACCATAAAAAATAAGATTCTATAAACTCTACAGCTTTGAAACCTGAAATTCATAGCTCAATGACAAATGGCATCTGAGTCTGGAAACGATCTCCCTTGGATTCGAACCAGCGACCTTCAGATTTAAAGACGAGCACCATACTTACTTGGATACTTGGATACTTGGAGAATTCCCACTGGTATCGCATCAGCGACGTGGTCGTCAGGTTTTTATACATTTCTTCATATATATTTATATAGATGGATTCATTTCCTCTTCAAGATTGTACATGGCCTAGACATATATCTCATCAACACTGTAGTAGGCCACTTGACTTAAGAATGTTTTTAGCAGGTTCTTGAATTTGTTGACAGAGGGCTCTTGTGTGATGTACTGAGGCAATTTATTGTAAATTTTTATACTATTGAAGTAAGGGCTCTTGCTTGCAAGGGTGGAATTTACTTGAGGTACATGTGGATTTGTTGCTCTTCTTGTATTGTAATTGTGGACCATGCTGTTTGTTACAAAAATATTGGGGTTCTTCTTAACAAGCAATGCGGATTCCAATATAAAGAGGGACGGAAGTGTGAGGATGTTCAGTTCTTGGAACAAAGGTTTACAGTGTGTCCGTCTATGGACTCCACATATTCTTCTAATTGCACGCTTTTGAAGGATGAAGATGCGTTTTGCCTCACTACAACCACCCCAAAATACCAAACCATATGAGATTATGCTATGAAAACAGCCATAATAAACCTTAAGGAGAATCTCGATGTCAACCAGCTTTTGAAGTCTAAACAGCAGGTAGGTGACAGATGACAGTCTGGGCGCTATTGCATCGACATGTGTTCCCCAATTAAGGTTCTCCGTAATGTGTAGGCCCAAGTATTTGGTTTCACTACAGGTTTCAAGTAGCACCCCGTCCAAGGTCAATATCGGAGGTGGTTCAGGCTTCTTCCTGTTATAAAATTCCATTAATTTAGTTTTACTAGAATTAAGGACCAGATGATTTTTGCTACACCAAGTTGACATTTCAAGCAAGCCAGTTTGGGCGTTTTCAATCGTGATGTTCCGATTTGGGCTTGGGACTAGGTGACAGGCGTCATCGGCAAAAAGCCATAAATTTCCAGATGATATGGAGCCAGGCAAGTCATTCACGTATAACAGGAATAGGATGGGCCCAAGGTTTGATCCCTGGGGGACACCGATGTTCAGAGCTGGTGATGGAGACGATTTATATGTCCGAAGGATGTTGTCAGGGCCTCTGTGCTTCAAGGATACAATCATGTGCCGATCTTTAAGATACGATGAAATCCATCGCAGTGGGTTTCCAGAAATGCCAAGCGTTCGCAGCTTATCCAGAAGGATCCTGTGGTCAAGAAGATCAAAAGCCTTTGTCATGTCGTAAAAGAGACATAGTAAGCTGTCAGATATGTCAAGGTGGTTATACACTTCCTTTAAAAGGGCAAAAATGGCATCACAGGTAGACATGTTTTTTCTGAACCCAAATTGGTTATTTGACAAGATGTTATTTGTTTCAATAAAACTTAGCAATCTTTTAAGAAAAATAATCTCAAAGATTTTACCAAAACAAGGCTGGACAGAAATAGGCCGGTAGTTACTTGCGTTAAGAGGATCATTTTTCTTAAATACAGGGACAACCTTTGAAGTTTTCAACGAATCAGGAAAGCAACCAGTTTCAAACGACTTGTTAATAGAGCAGGCCAATGCTTCAAAGATGTTTTCATTGCAAAGTTTGAGAAGGCTGCATGGGACTTCATCAATGCCAGAACTTTTTTTTGATCCTATTAATAAGACGACTTCACGAACCTCAGACGCAGAAGTAGGAGACAGTACAAAGCGACTCGCTTCGAGATCAGTGGGCAACACAGGGGCTACATTATCTTTAGCCAACGTACATATTTCCTGGTGAAAAGATTTACAGAAATAGTCTACTATTGTCTGAGGATTTTTGACTTCCACGTCATCGATCATAAGAATCAGGTTTGATTGGGTCTGATACTTTTCATCGCACAGTGTACGGACCACTGCCCAAGATTCCTTGCTTGTGTTTTTGGAATTTAATATTTTGTTACCAAAAAAGGCCTTTTTTGTTTTGTTAACAAGTGCAGAGTGGTGGCGTTTAGCTGCGCGATAAGCATTTTTTCCATCGACAGAACAGTGAGGCGACCTAGTATTCCAGTACAGGTCCAAGAGTGCTTCATGCGACTGCGATACCTCATGACTGACCCAAGAAGGGCTATGTTCATTCTTTGTATTTGAAGTAGACACAGGGAAACTTACATTAAAAACATACATGAACGAATCGTAGAAATGGTCAAATAAATCATTAGAGGTGATATTTCTTAAATTAGGTTCTGGCATCCAAGCTTCATTGTTAGATAAAATTTTGAAGGCTTCAAAAGTCGAGGCTGTAAATTTCCTCTTCACTGTCTTATTTACATTTCCCTCTCCAAAACGTTCACACAACAAGTGTACTGATAACAAATGGTGGTCAGAAAAAAAACAGGTTTGGCACTGGAGGCACGAAACATATGTGCAACACACGAGTCAACAATAAAATAGTCAAGCTGAGTTATACAATCAGGTGTTACTCTCGTTGGACCTTTAAATATAATGTTCAGGTTATTACATTCTAACAAATCCTGAAGCAGCTGACTTTCCCAGGATCTCTCAAGATTGTTTATATTTAAGTCAGCGCAAATAAGAAGCGGGATATTAAACTTATCTCTGAGGGTAGAAATCAACAAGTCAAAACGATCAATAAAATCAATCACATCAGCGCTGTTGGCAGTCCCAGGCCGATACAATACCACAACAATAATTTGGAACTTGTCTAGCTGCATTAGTCCCAAACAGAACTCAAATACACCTTCAGAACAAATGTCTTCGTCAATAGATAATGTCATCGGCTTAAATTTAAGCCTAGAGTCAGTTTTAAGCAACAGAGCAACTCCACCCCCTACTCGGTTAGGTCTAGAATATTCAGAAATGGTTTTGTATCCATTTACTTTAAAACAATTCAGCTTAGATTCATTAAGCCACGTTTCGGCAACACACAATACTTCAGGGTTCTCATTATGTAACAAAACTTCAAGGTCTTCTATCTTGTTAAAAATAGACCTAATATTTAAGAAATCAAACCTAAAACTAATATCACAGTTTTTTTCCGCCCCAAGACAATGTGGGTTGGGGCTTACGTCCCGTTTTTTGGACCATCAGAAGTCTTAGAAGTAGGCCTAGGCCTATCATGTTGTTCAAGGTTAGGCCTAGTACTGGTCCTGTGACTATTAGTTCTAGGAGTCAAAAATTTACATATAAGTATTCCCTCAGGCCAGAGATTGCTATCCAACAGCTTGTCAATAGAGTCAGAAGGTACACCTACCTTAAAAGATGAGTAACCCTGGTACTTAGTGGGAAGTTGTTCACACTGGATTTGAGAGTGTTCAATAGGACACAAGTTCCTTATATACTCAACTAGGCTTTCAGGTTTCACACATGGGTCAAATCTTGATAAAAACACCCAGGATTTCCTCTGTGCCACAACAAGAGGTCCAGTTTGTTTGGCTTTGCCAATTATAGCTCGGTTTCGTTGCACTTTAGATTGAGGACGAACTGGATTTGACTTCTCTCTATCACCACGACAATTTACATTAATCCTTTTCTTCCTAGTCACTTGATTCCAATTGCCATAACCACTCGGCTACCCAAACAATTAATTTTCTGTGACTTTAATACAAATTTTAAATCATACTCATTAGTTACAGGAAGGGGGTAGACCATCCTGTCCTACTTCACAACAATGCTGCAACTAACTACTACTTATTAACACCACTATGACCACTATGATTAAAAACTAATTATTTTAAGTCAGAATTTGTCACTTTTAACACTCAAGATGATTTGACCATACTTCATGAGTTTTAAAAAGATTTCAAACAAAATATAAATACATCTGAAGCCATTGACATTTAGATACTAATCCAGTCATATGTTCTGCTTTATCAAAGGAAATTATCAGATTCCAAATCTCACAACATAGGTAGGGTAGGCCTAGTGAAAGCATCATAGGAAATTCCAAAGATTTTTTAAACAACACTCTCGCAGGCATAATTTGCAAAGTCCTAATTTTTCCTACAGGTTCAACTGTTATACCACGATCCGTCATTAGGACAGCCAGTTACGTTTGTGATGAAGCGTTTAGAGATCCTACACACAGACCCGAGTGGCTTGGTCCGCTACCACGACATTGACAAGTTTCTTGGTAACTTCTGTGCATGGCAAAGGGAGGAGAACCCCGTAGATGATGCAGATCCTCTGCATTGGGACCATGCTCTCATACTCACTGGGCTCGACTTGTTTGTACGCAGCAAGAACGGAAAGTTCAGCAGCCAGGTTGTAGGTGAGTTGTTAAAACTGTGACTCGGATGTTTTTGCTTTACTGGCTAGGCCTACTTTCATTGAACTGGACATTTTGACCAGATATCTTTCAGGCTAGCCAAGGGCTGGATAGTTGGGAATTTATAGGTTTGGGGTTTCCATGTCTTTTTAGTAATGCCAATATTCTGCTATGTTGACAGATTGTGTTTAGGTAAAAATTGGGTTCTGAGTTAATTAAACAGTTTAGCTTAGAAACAAGACTAACCCACAAATGATTGTTGCTGTAAGAAACTTAAAGTCAAATAGTTTTTATATTATAAAGAAAAATATTGCAGTTAATTAATTGATAAGCCTGAGCTCAAAAACTGGTTTCATATCCTTCTACCATCTACATATGAAGCCTAAAACCTTGCTGTAATTTAACAGGATTTAATTAGCCCATTAAAATGCATCTTCTGTCTTCCGTTACAACATTTACTAATTTTCAGTGAATCTTAAGCAAAGGTGATCAAATGGGGGTGGGAGTTATTTTTTATTTATTGGGTTGAAAATAGGTAACTAGCATTTGAATTGAATTGAATCAGCAGTTGAATCAAATACCTGAATCAGATACCTGAAATGAAATACCTGATGTTAATGCTTAAAGCTTGGCTAACTCCCCAAAAAACTGGCATTGGACTTTCACAATTCCAATAAGACTACTGATTTAGATGTCCAATGAAGAATAATGAATAGCTATTCATAGCTGTCAGTAGTTCTCTTGATTCACAGAGAATACTTAAAGTATATGACATTATTATATTTATTTAAGAAATCACAAAATAGTTGTGTTAGTTGTGTTTGACTATTGTATATTGTTAAAAATCAGGGGCCTCGCACAACAATAGCTAGGGTCTCGAAGGGTTGGTTGTGAGTGCGTGGCACTATTCGGATTCCTCGAACACACCACAGACAGAGAATAGACACATGTCATCAGTGGACTAAGTCAATAGGCTCTTTGACATCCACGTAGAAACTTCCAGAGGGAGGTGTAAACAGCTTTATCTGGAGGTACAGTACTAGGATTCTCTAGAAGGTTCCTCGGCAAACCTATATAAGGGACCGAGGAATGATCAGAATTTTCCCGTGATTACAGAAGAAGATGATAATGTCTTCACAACCACAAATGAACATGATTTTTTCCGCGATCGCGCAAGACGATGATGATATCTACAGAGCCGTGAGGGATGATCAGAATATTGCTCAGGATATTTGGAAGAAAATGATTATGTCCACACGACCATGGGAAACAGTCAGAATTTTGCGGCGATCCCGGAAGGTGATGATGATCTCCACACAACTGCGGGTTATGATTATCATTTTGCCGCAATCGCGGTAGACGATTACTATGTCCAGTGTCCACACGACTGTGGGAGACAATATAATGATTTCTTTACGTCCACGAGGGATAATCAGAATTTTTTCACAATACCGCAAAACGACGATAATGTCCAAAAGACCGTGGAAAAAAATCAGTACTTTGCCTCATTCACGGTAGACGATGATAATCTCCTCACCAATCAATTGCAAATATAACCACAATTTTTTTTATTTTCCAATTTGTTGGTGCCCCCCAAAAAGCCAACTGCCTCGCGCCCTAGGCACGAGCCTACCTTGCCTATTTGTTAAATCAGCAATGGTTTAGGTAGGCTTAGTTAATAATTAGGTGAATGTAATTACTGTGTTTAAATAATATTAGTGTAAAATAAATACCCATTATTAAATTGCCAAGTTTTATTGTAAAGAACCAGTAAGCCCGCAACAATATTATATATTATATATGTGGTTATATATGTGGTTGACAGGCCTAGCACCAGTAGCTGGTATGTGTACCCCCACCAGCAGCTGTACAGTCAACGAGGGAAGACATTTTGAGAGTGTCTACGTTGTGGCACATGAAATAGGACATAAGTAAGCTCTAATTTTATCAGACACCTTTTGTACCAATCACTTTGAATAGTGCAAGTCAACTTTATCCTATAGTTGTAAAATTCAAAGCCTGTTTTTATGTGATTCATGTTGGTTTCATTTGAGTTTGCTAATGTTTATTAAACTCAAATTCTTTTCAAAAATGAAATAAAATTGGCCTAATGGATGTGAAGGACTTTTATTGATAAATTAGAGTGAAGTCAACAATGTTCTACAAGCATGTAAAATAGGCTATAGCTTAAATTATAGACACTGTTTTGAATATTGTACCTGTAATAAATAGCTTCTACAAATTGAAATTACATGTTTTACAACTTGTTTTTGAACACAGGGTATACTACAAAGAAGTTTAGACGTTGATTTTATATCACTGGCCCATTTATGCACTGAAGGCTTTAATAGCTACTTACCTTACAAGAGTAGTAAGAGCGTTTTTACATCACACAGGTGAATGTTGTGCAAGGAGCGGAAGCGAGTTGCATAATTTACCTTAGTGATGTAAACACGCTCTTGCGTAACGTGTAGGCTAACATACAAGATTTTACCTGACCCGACAATATACAGGAGGTTATGAGCAATATTTTTTCGTATTTTTTCGTAATCGCCTGTTTACGAACAATATTTTTCATTACCCATTTCACTCATCTTCTAACAGTAACGTTCATTTACAACCAAAAGCTAGGTTAGGAAAATTCTTCATAACATAACAATAAAATTCAAGTGCACAGCTTTTTTCTAGCGTTGAACACCGTTGGCTACATAGAGGTGTATTTTTTAAGTTAAGCACTCGATGTTATTTAAATGGGTTTCATTCTCACCGAGTTAGTTTTTTTCAACTTAACATCACTCGAGAAGTAAAGAAGTTGTATACATTACGCTTGGGATAGGGAAGTTTAACATGGCGGGTTAGGTAAAACTTTACACAATTTTTATAAATTATGTAAAAATGTATAAAAAGGTTTACATAATTTAATTGATTTATTATTTTTGAGTGTTGTGTAAGGGAAATTAAATTACTTTTTGGTACAGAAGCAGTTAGACATTTTATTTTACCTAACCCGCCATGTTAAACTTCCCTATCCTAAGCGTGATGTATACAACTTCTTTACTTCTTGAGTGAAGTAAAGTATTAAAAAACTCACTCGGTGATGTAATGAAATCCATTTAAATAAGATTGAGTGCTCAACTCAAAATATATACCTCTATGGAGCCAACGACGTTCAACGCTAGAAATTATTAGAATTGTGCGCTTGAATTTATTGTTATGCTTTAAAGAATTTTCCTAATCTAGCTTTTGTTTGTAAAAGAATGTTACTGTTAGAAGATGAGTGAAATGGATAATGAAAAATATTGCTCATAACCTCCTGTATATTGTAGGGTCAGGTAAAATATTGTACGTTACATGTTACGCAAGAGCGTGTTACATCACTTAGGTAAATTATGCAACTCGCTTCCGCTCGTTGCACAACATTCACCTGCGTGATGTAAAAACGCTCTTACTACACTTGTAAGGTAAATAGCTATAACAACACTACCTACTAGTTTCTATTAGCAAATTATTCGTCCATTTAGTTGTAATCGGATTACTCACCGGTACAATTCCTGGATAGGAATATTGGAAAATGGCGGACATTTTTGAAAAAAGTAGAAGTACTAGTAATTTGTTTTAAAAATTTTATTCAAAAATTGTTGCTGAAGTTCCCCATTTAAGGTTTTCTCTAAATCTGACAGTTTCTAAAATACCAACGGTGAATACATTATTGTAAATTTGATTTGTTTGTGTTTAGTCTAGGCATGAGACATGACGGCCCTCTAGCAGACAACAACTGTGACCCGACCAGCTACCTCATGTCCCCCACCCTGGGCAGTGGCAAGATAACATGGTCTGAGTGTAGCAGACATTACCTACTACAGTTTCTCAGGTTGGTAACTAGTAAGCTAGGCATGAGACATGATGGTCCATTAGCATACAACAACTGTTACCCGACCATCAGCTACCTCATATCCCCCACCCTGGACAGTGGCAAGATAACATGGTCTGAGTGTAGCAGAGACACTGTTTCTCAGGCTGGTAACTATAAGCATAAGCTAGTCTCGGCATGAGACATGACGGACTTTGGCCACGATCGACAACAATAACGTTTCCATGATCACGGAAGACGGCAGTTATATGTTTCCGAGACCATGATGATGATCAATATTTTCATTCCTAGTATTTTGGTTGTGGGGAAGAGTAAGAAAAAAGATATATAAACATCTATTAATTGTTGTTTTGTAAACTCTGAACTTGTTTTAGGAGCCCACAGTCTCACTGCCTCATGGATCATAATGACCAAAGCCAACTTGATCATTCTAGCCACGGAGCTCTGCCTGGAGAGAGGTTCGATGCTGATCAGCAATGTACGTATTGTCACCACAAATTCTACCTTGATTTGAAGATGCTCATAAAGCCTAAACCGTATCCAACAAGGTTACTTTGAAACCAAACTTACATATAATAATTTAGTATGCAGAGGCGGATCCGGGACTTTATTGAGGGGGGGCAGCACTTAAATTCTTACATATTGTTTGGAGAAAATTTTGCCATAGGTCATAGGTAGCCTATCAACGTAAATATGTAAACTTTATGTGGGTTCAAAATAAAACCCATTTTTGCAGTTGAGTCCGGTTTACTGGAACTTGTAAAAAACCTGAATTGGTGAAAACCTTTTATGTTTGTTGGTTGTTTTGCAATAATTTTGCCGCGATCATGGAATACGATAATCACCGCGATCACGGGGGACATGAAGATTTTGCGAAACACAATGATGATATCTTTGCAAATTGCAACCGTGGTAGGTGTTCAGGGTTTGTCCAGATCACATGAAACTATAATGAGTCTTGGCGTTCACGGGGATGTTCAAAATATTTCTGAAATCAAAAATTATTACATACTAGACCTACGTGATGGATAAACAATTTTTATATCCGCAGGGGGGGGGGCCCACGTGGGGCTGGGTTCGTGACTATTAGTATGTCTCATAATTAAGTTTGTGAATGTTCTTTGAATACATATTACATTTTCATCTTTTTCATTACCGGTACTGTTAATGTGCTTTCTCATTCTTTACTCGACAGTTCCTTTCCCTACACCATCGGCTATCTTAATTCTCTTTTCTCCACACTTCTATTCACCTCATCTAACTAATTTCTTCTATGTCTTCACCTCAGTCTCATTTCTCTTATCACCATTATCATGGAACCTCTCTCTTCTTGTATTCTTTTCACATGACCAAACAATCTAAATCTTGCTTCTCTTTCCCTATTGTGGTGTCTTCCTGCCCTTCTTTTGATTCATCTTAAATACATCTCTCTAGTTTTGTTGTGCATGGCAGAACAACTTTTGAATCAAAAGATTTTTCTTCTCAACCCTTTACATTTGGCTTGTTATTTTTTTCTGAGGTTCTCTCCCTATTTAACAATAAGTTTCTTACCTTCATCACATTGTAGGTATGTTGAAATACGGAGCTGGAAGCAGACATGCGTCTTCACAGCCTTTACATGACCTATGTCGAGATCTCCACTGCCATCGTGATAGATACACATGGACCTCCCATCCAGCTCTGGAAGGTACAACTTGTGGCACTAACAAGGTATATTTTCAACAAGACTCACATTATTGATCCTTTCAAGTTTGATTTATTTACAAAATGAAAATAAGCAGCTCAAATAGACTTCATTATGAAGGAATGCATTGAAATGGGTTGTTGAACTATTAGGGCTAAGAATATATAAAAATATTTATATAATATTAGCGTTTAACAAAATTGTATTTTTTTCTAAACGTGTTTTCTTTTAATAGTTTTACAGATTGAAAATAATTTATTTTTCTTAAGGTTTGTCATTGTGTAGTAAATTCCAATAGAGCTGGACCTGGAAACTGAGTGTTCCTTTAGTAATCCAGTATCAGTTTGTTCAGTAGCTTTTTGATCCTTTTAGAAATCTGATCATTTGGCTTTTCATGATCCTCACAGTATCGAAACTATCACATCAGTCAATGCTCATTCTTCTTGGCCTTAATATCCGCTCTCTGGCGTGTCGGTGTGCTATAAATCTAATCTTATCAAGACTGCTTTTTATTGTAGTTTAAATTGATGAATGAAGAAATGTATTCATGTTAGGCATATGTACCCTACAGTGGTGCCGCAGTGGACGCTGTGTGCCCCGCAGTCTGTCCCAGCTGCAGGCGGGCCCGGTGTCAGGACAGTGGGGGCCCTGGGGGCCGTACTCTGAGTGTGCGTCCGGCTGTCTGCAGGGGGAGCCTAGTGGGCTGGGCCAAGGCAGCACAGGCATCATGTTTGCATACAGGCAATGCAACAGGTATAAATCTGTAAAGTAGAAATTAATGGATACAAGAAAAACCTATGAGTCATTCAAATAATATATCTATACAATTAATAGGCCTACAAGAA